CCAACCATTCCCATTTTATTACAGTGTATCCATATAAATGGCCCACCCTGTATATATGTATAACATTTCACACATACTGTTACTTACAATTAAAGCTGACAGTCTTTCTCTCTATTGCATTTGATTGTTTATTTCAAATGATCAAAAACCTTTAGACCTATTTGAACATTATGTGTCTATGGTTTAATATCAGGAGAACTACATATTAAGTGTATGAAGTGTTGCTGTTCCGAGTACCTTTGAAAACATCCAGATTTAAAGAAGCACCATGCTGCAACCCCAATCACATTCAGAGTAAGCAAAATACCAAATAAGGCCCAAGCAGCAGAACATGCTCCTACAGGGACACAAGAAGGAAGAATATAATTAGACTAATGTTGTTCTCTTTCCCTTTCATGGCTTTTAGTTTTATATTTCACATTTAGATGACTCAGACAGTATTGCAAGTCTTCTAAATGGCAATAGGACACCTCAGGTGGCTTGGCTATATTCCAAAATCATTCTACACCTGGACTCAACATATTTAAAAACTTCCATCTGCTGGCAGGTGAGGCACAAAAATAAAAGACAAACTTAATATGACCGTGAAAGAAGCAAGCTGGCAGTTTTTGGGAGTAACAGAATACATGTACCGGCGTTACGTATTTAAAATACAAAATATGGGTAACTGTATTCTGTTACAGTTACCGTTTAAAAAGGTAGTATTCCGAATACAGTTACTTTGTTGACATAAAGGGATTACACGGAGGTCTTTTCCTGTTTCATATGTTAGGCTGTCCCCTCTCTATTTTTGGTAATTCCATGCCAGTGGAAACCCAAACAAAACACGCATTAAGAGGCTCTAATGCCTGGGTCTCAATCTCGCGGCCCATGTCAACTCTACCTGCGGCCCGCATAATGACGCAAAGAAATATTTTAAAAAATATTGTTCAAAAAATTATTTAATATGAAGGCAATAGGCAGAGTGTTACAGGCATAGCCCTAAAGAATGTAACCTCATGGTCAGTGTAGCCCAGTTGTAAGTAAGCTATTCAGACTCGAATGTACACTGTGTTCATGTTTTTCTCCTTCTTTCTTCTATTGGAGCAGCCTTTCAATGTCTCTCACTGGCAAAGTTGACCCAGACAACAAAGTAAAGTTTTCGGCTATGAGCCCGACACGGAACCCGACGTATTAGCCAGAGGTCCCTTTACTACGGTTCGGAGCCGCGGACCTGTTTTATATATACACAGAATATTTTTCTATAGGAGATCGCTGCAAAAACCTAATGTCCACCCTACCGTTACTCATTTTATGTTAAGATTTAGTTGGTATTGGTATGCGAGTAACCTTCAGCAATAGTAATAAATCACACAGCAATAGTACATTCATGTAGTTGTAAACAGCTTGCTAATATATTAAATAATCCAAAGTATTCAGAATACGTTACTCTCATTGAGTAAGGTAACGAAATATGTTACGAAATACATTTTGGGGCATGTATTCTGTAATCTGTAGTGGAATACATTTTAAATGTAACCTTCCCAACAATGCAAGCTGGTACATGTTTTGAGCTTGTAATGGTGGCCTGAGTTAAAACGATGTATTGCACTGAGTGGCGCTTGAGTCATCCATTCATTCGCTTTTCAGTTTCATGCTGTTTATACTTTAAGCCGAACTCTTCAAGCTAGTTGGTGTTCAGAACAAGATCAGAATGAAGCAACACCAGCAAAAGCTCAAATAAAAACTCAGAAACAAATCCAGAAAGATTTGGACAAACTGCACAGCTAAATCCAAGCTGACCTCACCTGCTGCAACACGCACATAGAGCTGACCATGTTTACGTCCATATGCGTTAGATGCTTCACACTGATAGAGGCCATTTAGATCAGAGGTCAGACTCAGCAGTTGTAGCTTTGCACCATCTACTTTGACACCAGGCTGTGACAAAGACTGTCCAGATCTGGAAAAAACACGAACAAGACTCTACATGAAATGTACAGAGAAGGAAAAAAAAATGTGAGTTTTGCAAAATGCAAATTAATTTTAGTCATTAGCTTTTTGTGTTGCACTTTCCTTGCTCACACCAAAACATTACATTATTTAATTTTTACCTAATTACATGACTCCCTGATAAACAAGATCCGAGGGGGTAGAGGCAGCCAGGCACATTCACATCACAACCCTCTCCCAATTGTTTCCATTTTCCCTTTTGATCCCACCATTATATCATAAAAATAAACACCATATTATTAAGCTTAGAATTCATGTTTGGGCACAACAAAGATCATTCATTTACTCAAATCAACACCATCTTATTATATTGACTCTGTTTTACATTTATTGTCCACTTGTTGGCACAGTAGAGCAAGTGAAGCACAATGCAGCTTTGGCCCATGAGTTTACCAAGTGGATGAAAAGCTTTAATGCTTCATGAAACTTCATACAGCCATTACTGATTGCAGAATAAGGATCCAAATACTGAAACACAACAAAAGGGAAAAAATAATTTATTTTACTCATGTATACATGTGTATTTAGCTATTAGCAGTGGCTCATGGTGATGGGTTTACTTAAATTTTTAACTTCCTAATTAATTCCCTCCAATTGTTTTCTTACCACCATAACTACATCTTCCTCTCTTTCTTTCTCCCTCCATTTTTGGGACTACTGTCCCTTGTCATGCAATTCTCCATGGACAGTGCTAGCAACAACACCTTTATGTGACTACCAAGGCTTTATAATAGTCACTGCTTGTAATAGGATTGATGGTGCAGCAGCTAACATTTTAGTTAATTTGATACATTTTAATTTCTAGTTTCTTTTTTCTTTTTCTGTCATAGCATTTAAAGCTCCACCTTTTCACTTTTGGTTGTCCATCTTTATCAAAGGTTTCTTACACAGTAAACTTCTGTTCTACAAGGTGGATGGTAGGAGACCGGCCGGTCTTGTTAAGAGATTTGATCAGGCAATCCAGTGTCAGTAATGAAAAAGAATAAATGAGTGGCAGTCAGTGCTTGTAGGGCTAGTGGCAGTGGACCACCAGCCAGCCTGTAGGCTATAAAATGATATTGACGACAAAGAAAAAAAATGATATTGACCCATCGGCCCAGAAATGTCCTGGCACACTGGGAAAATGCCTGGTATGCCAGATTACCAGTCCAGCCCTGGTAGGTAGAAAGACTAAACACAGATGGACACAACAGACACAAACACAGTGAAGGAACACAAAGCTCAGAAAAAATGAGTATCAAAATAAAACAGTAAGTAAATAATACAAATAAATAAATAATCCATCCATCCATTCACTTCCGCTTATCCTTTTCAGGGTCGCGGGGGGCGC